CTCTTAGTCAACCCACGTCGACCTCTGCATAGTTTTAAAGAAAACGGAATATGGGCAGCAGACGCCTTCCCAGTAAATGAGCGGGCACCGGGTCTGTTGAGAAGGCTTCCGGATCACCCCACAAGGAATTTGTCGATGCTTGATAAGACTTTTGTTTTCCGGTGAGGGTTCGGAATGTGAGCGGGAAGGGGGGCGGGGAGAGAGAGAGAGAGAGAGAGAGAGAGAGAGAGAGAGAGAGAGAGAGAGAGAGAGAGAGAGAGAGAGAGAGAGAGAGAGAGAGAGAGAGAGAGAGAGAGAGAGAGAGAGAATAGTAATAACAAGCCTGTCCCTAAAAATAGTTTTCTTCATGCATTTATATTTTGCATTGTCTTTTACTTAGGTAATAATGTGTATAATTTTGTTTTACGTTCACGAACTGTGTGTGTGTGTGTGTGTGTGTGTGTGTGTGTGTGTGTGTGTGTGTGTGTGGTGTGTGGTGTGTGTGTGTGTACTCACCAATTGTGCCTGCAGGATCGAACTGTAACTCTTGGATCCCGCTTTTCTAGCCGTTGGTTCTCTAATACAATGACTCCTGACCTATTTCCTTATCATATACCTGCTTTTAAAGTTATGAATAAAGTTAGCCTCTACAACCTGCTCCTTTTAGGTCATTAGTATTTTTTCACTACCCTTACGCTACAAGAAAAAACTTGGATCAACTTGGATAACTACGTGTTCAATTATCGGGTTACTAGAGCGGCACAACGGGTTATTTTTTACCATTTTTAGTCAGTTTTGAATTATACATTATCGCACAGCATAGCATTTCTGACAACAACCCCATACCACTCGTCCTATTCCACAGCTCCCTTCTCCCCCCTTTCCCCCTTCCCTCCCACACCAGTACCAACCCCCTCCTCCCTCTCCCACCACCAGTACGAACTCCCTCCTCCCTCTTCCACCATCAGTACCAACCCCCTCCTCCCTCTCCCACCACCAGTACGAACTCCCTCCTCCCTCTTCCACCATCAGTACCAACCCCCTCCTCCCTCTCCCACCACCAGTACCAACCCCCTCCTCCCTCTCCCACTACCAGTACCAACCCTTTCACCCTCCCACCACCAGTACCAACCCCCTCCTCCCTCTCCCACCACCAGTACCAACCCTTTCACCCTCCCACCACCAGTACCAACCCCCTCCTCCCTCTCCCACCACCAGTACCAACCCCCTCCTCCCTCTCCCACCACCAGTACCAACCCCCTCCTCCCTCTCCCACCACCAGTACCAACCCCGCACACTCACAAGACTCTTGCATGCTCCTCAGGCGTTGGCGTTGTTGGCTGTGTTGGCTGTAGGAGGGACAGTGGCTGCCCCTTCCAATCTGGACGGTCTGGACCACCACCACGACCACCACCACGACCACCAAGATCCTCTACTGGCCCTCCCCAGTGCTCTTACCCCGGCATTCGCAGGCTACAACTACGACCCACCAGCTCAGCCTTCGGGACTCTACGAACTACCCGTAGGTCCATCTGATATCGTAGAGGTGACGCCACCTCCTACCACTACCACCACCACCACAACAACTACCACCACTACCCCACCGCCACCGCCCCCGGGACTCTACCTTCCGCCCGTCGACAAGGTGCCCGCAGCAGCTAACGAGATCATCAATGTTATTGAGGTAAGATGCTGGTGAAGAAGTCTTGCGAGATTGCCAATGATAAGGTAAATCCCATAAGCAGCAGGTTGATTAGTTAATCCCCCTATTCTATTATCGTGACAAGCAATTGAGAAGAAGCAGATACTTTAGTGAGGAAGACAATAAGACAAAGATATAATCAATAGGGACGTGGTAATCACTTGAGACACATAATGTGGAACATTTTCTTCGATTCTTCACTATTTTTGCCATATACCACCTCTCTTGCTCTCCGGTATGAGAATTAGGGAACACCGCAGTAAAGTGACGGGCTCACTATAGCCCGAGCTACATAACAATTTTGTTCTGAGTAGCTGAATTTTAGACAACAACGTAGCAGCATTCACTCCCAAAAACATCTACCTACTTACGGGCTATTCATGCCCGTGCCACCACTTGGGTGACTCAATCTCTATCAATCAATCAATCACCCAGTCCTGTCTAAGTCCACCCCTATCTCTCTCATATACCTGTCTAATCTACTCTTAAGCCTATCAAAATATCTCAATAAGACAGCTGGCAGCCCATTTGGTTCATCCACAGCCCAGATTCCAAACCAGTGCATCCCTGTATCCTTCCTAAGACAAAATTTCTTCAACTTCTACCCCCCATTATTGTCGGTCCTGATCTGTTCCCACAATTTCAGAACCCATTTTTTAACAACCCTCCTTTGTGTATGTCTACTGAAACCTTCTAAAAACCTACCTACTGAAAACCTTTATTATATCCCCTCCTCCTTAATATTTTCTCTAACGCTACGTATGGTTGCAGCCTTCGGGGTCCACCACCATGATGCCGATGCCGTACAACATCAACTGGGGCGTCTCCGACCCCGAGAGTGGCAACATCTTCAACCACATCGAGGACAGCGACGGCACGGAGGTGACGGGAGAGTACTCCGTCCTTCTGCCGGACAGTCGCATGCAGATTGTCCGGTTCCGGGTGGATCCCGTCAACGGATACCAAGCCGAGGTCACCTACGAGCCGGCCAAGTGACGAGGGCAGCTGACGTAGCCGGATCCGGTGTTCCACGGCAGGACCCGACCTACGACCGACCTAAATAGCTAGAGCAGGATATTTTTGCTCGTTTTCTTTATATCGTTACTTCCTATACTCATAAACAGGAATGGAAATACGTTGCTATTCAGGAACTCCGAGACTTTCACTTTATAATACGTATACAAAAACAAACCAAAAACATACAGATAACTGAGAGGATTCAATTGATTAGCTCTTTCAACAACCACTGACGTCACTGTATCCACCATCTACAACCTAATGACGTCATTTGACCTCCAGCCAATGACGTCTCACAACACATCCAAGCAACTGGCCAATGAGAGTCGTCGACAGGAACCAACATGACTCACTTCGTCTCCCACATGGATGGCTTGGAAGCAGCAGAAATATTTTAAATTCATGTTTTCTTTCAAGATCTTCCTAATCCCGCCCTCAAGTCCTGTAAGAACCGCCTCCGAATTTTCAATAACAAAATAAATATATTCCCCCTCGGATTCAAGCCCTTACAATTAAGCTTATGTACAAAATAAAATTAAAAAAGTTTTACGTCGATCGCTTTTATATTCTCCATGATTTTCTTTTCAAGTGATATTTCCTGAAAAATAATACAATGTAAGATATATTAAAGTTGTCATGAAAGTGGAAGCTGCAATTACTTCTTGTTCTGAATGTCCGAGTTACAGTCATTACAGTCAATATCTGAGGAACTATGTGAGCTCACACTACAGTCAATATCAGAGGCTCTGTTAGCTCACACTACAGTCAATGCCTGAGACTCTGTGAGCTCACATTACAGTCAATATCTGAGACTCTGTGAGCTCACATTACAGTCAATATCTGAGGCTCTGTAAGCTCACACTACAGTCAATATCAGAGGCTGTGTTAGCTCACACTACAGTCAATATCAGAGGCTGTGTTAGCTCACACTACAGTCAATGCCTGAGACTCTCTGAGCTCACATTACAGTCAATATCTGAGACTCTGTGAGCTCACATTACAGTCAATATCTGAGGCTCTGTAAGCTCACACTACAGTCAATATCTGAGGCTCTGTGAACTCACACTACAGTCAATGCCTGAGACTCTGTGAGCTCACATTACAGTCAATATCTGAGGCTCTGTGAGCTCACACTACAGTCAATACCTGAGGCTCTGTGAGCTCACACTACAGTCAATACCTGAGGCCCTGTAAGCTCACGCTACAGTCAATACCTGAGGCTCTGTAACCTCACGCTACAGTCAATACCTGAGGCTCTGTGAGCTCACACTACAGTCAATACCTGAGGCTCTGTGAGCTCACACTACAGTCAATACCTGAGACTGATTTCATAAATGTTGTTACTCACACAATCACATACTGTGTTGAGTGAGTAACAGCTGCATTATCAGAGCCAAATCACATGTCCAAGGTGCTAAAGATTAACCAAAGGTCTATTGACGTTTTGGCAGTTAATATTTTATGATGTGTGATTGAGAAGATGCATTGGTTAACAACTTGACTCATGAATAGATAAGTTGTCACGAGACAAGTTGTCAACCAGTGCATCTACGATTCCCATCAATGTATCAATTCATCAATTGATGAATGCATCAATGCATCAATTTCCTTCTTGTGTGGCAGGGAATATTAGCAGCATCTGACTGCAGAAAGATACCTGGCTGAATTACTAACCCTGACCAAAATTGTACATCAGTTTTATTGCCAAATAAAATAGGAGTTGACTGCATAATTGAATAGTTTGCTTTCTTGTGCCACAACATCCATCTACCACTCATAAAATTACCTTAATAACTAATAATAATAATAATAATAATAATAATAATAATAATTGCCATATTATTAATAGATGTTTTTAACAACTATGCAAGGATTTTATATATATATATATATATATATATATATATATATATATATATATATATATATATATATATATATATATATATATATATATATATATATATATATAATATATATATATGATATATATATATATATATATATATATATATATATATGACCGTAATAACCTATATATATATATATATATATATATATATATATATATATATATATATATATATATATATATATATATATATATATATATATATATATATATATATATATATATACATTGTTGAGGCTACGAACCCTCTTTGTAGAGGCTACGAAAAAAACTTTTTTTCTATTTACATCTTTCAATGAGAAGCGTTGTACACTATCAACGAGTATGTCACTATTAACGTACATGTCGACAAATATGTCTACTGAATGTTACTGGCAGACACGAAAGAATTAGTATGGACGCTTAGGAGAAGCTTCGTCTCGTTCAGTAGCTTGCATCTTGCATGCAAAGCGAGACACCTAAGACGCTCGACCTTCTCCACCCGAGGTTACCAAGCCATTGGTGTGGTTCGACTGTTGCAAGCAGTCAACAGAGGCCAGTCCTTGCTGCTCGGCCATATTTTGACAGCTAACGTGATTAATTTGCGTCTTAAGTCTTCGTGTCAAGAACTCGATTTTGCACTTGTTTCATTCGGGCTCTTAAGTGGTCACATAAATCTTGTTTTGAATAGTTTTTTTTTTTAAGCTATTTCCAGGCACTTCGATTTTCTATTGATTGCATTTTTAATTGTAGCCAATAGAAAAGTCTAATGTATAAAGTCTAAAAAATAATTGCAAGTCTATATCGTTGTTTATATTTAGCATGAAAGATAAGAAAATAATACATACTGAGCTCATTATATGCTGACAACCAAATTTTAAAATTTAGTAAAAGATTTGAGCGCTTTCGGATTGTCTCCAGTTGGCATTTAACGAAAGCTTGGAGACAATCTTAAGACGCACAGATATTTACATTCATTTTTTAAATGAGTGTAAAGGAGATTACCCAAAAGGATGTAATGGGCCTAGTGGCTTATAAGGGAGGTGCTTCACCTCCACCTAATCCCCGGCTATATATCCGTCAGCACAAAAACTTGTAACCATTCGAACTCTGCCTTTCATAATGTTGACAAGGGTAAACGAAACGCATCTCTTAAGCGTCAAGCCTTAATGAACGTGCAAAATGAACTTTGAGGAGTTAATTTTTCAACAACTTCCTTCTCAAGGGAAGAAAAGCATAACAGAAATAAAGAAGAGTCATGCCAGAATTATTGATCTCACCTGTCCCAGACAAAGAGAAAAACTAATTGTATAATTTTTCATTTATTAATGGCCTTACTACAGGTGTTAAATCCTGTAAGTCGATATTTCCAATCGTTGAAAAATCGGACTGTCAAATTCTTCAAGATGATTTACAAAAAAGCTGCAGAGTTGTGTTTAGAAATGACTATTGGATTCTAACACCAGTAGGTCTTTGGCGATGAAAACTAGAAAAGGTGAGCAAATGGCCACCAGGAACATAGGCCTCCTTAGTTAGGCTTTATACAATGAAGTCTAACTCCGGAGGCCCGTGCAAGTAGGATAACATCAACAGCATACTCGACACTAGCTAAAGTCAGAACATCATACCAAGATAAGGAGGCAGTTAGAGCAGTGCACACTGTGTGGATAATACCAGCTCTATAATACGTATACCTCATCGTAGAGCCTCATTTCAAGAAGCATATTAGGAAGTTGGAAGCGGTACGAAGGTCTTCAACGAGGCTCGTCCCGGCATTTCGAGGGATAGGGCATGAAGAGAGACTGAAAGACCTGGACCTAAACTCGCTAGAAAAGATGATGAGAGAGAGAAAGAGAGAGAGACAGATAGACATGATACAGATATTAAAATACTTACAGTGATTGATAGAATGGAAAAAAAGAGAAGTTCACAATAAACATCTCAAAGAATATCATAGAATTAAAGTTAATGGGAGGAAGCACAAGAATCCAACGAGTCACAGACATGATTTGAAAGTTTTCTTTTAGCGTAAGAATAGTGGGAAAATGGAGTGAACTAAATGAGCAAGTTGTAGAAGTTCACTCCATTGATAATGTCTGAAGTATATGTGATAGAGAAATAGGTCGGGAGTCGTTGCAAAAACAAACGGTAACTGATAAGTCCAGGTCCAAGAGCTAAAGCTCAATACAGCAGGAAGAAATAGATGAGCAAAGTTGGTTTAAGCTCACACACACACACACACACACACACACACACACACACACACACACACACACACACACACACACACACCTGTAGAAATAGATCCCAGATAAATATCCCCAAAGAAATAGATAGATAAATAGATCCCAATAGATAGATCTATTTCCTGTAGAAATAGATCCCACCTGCTCATCATGGGCGACTTCAATCACGGAAAGATTGACTGGGAGAACAAGGAACCGCATGGAGGCGAGGATACGTGGAGAGCCAAACTATTGGAGGTGGTGACAAGCAACTTTTTAACGCAGCATGTCGGAGAACCCACAAGGATGAGAGGCAATGACGAACCAGCGAGACTCGACCTAGTCTTCACTCTGAACGACTCCGACATAAGAGAAATCGGTTTTGAGGACCCAGTAGGAATGAGCGACCACAGTGTACTGGTGTTTGAGTACTTGATTGAAGAAGGGTTATTGAACTCGAGGAGGGATACCGAAACCAAAAGGTTAGCATACCGAAAGGGAAACTATGAGGGGATAAGAAAATTCCTAACAGATATAGCATGGGAAACAGAGCTCAGGGAAAGACGGCCCAAGATATGATGGATTACATCACGCAGAAGTGCAAGGACGCAGCAAACAAGTTTGTCCCAGTCCAAAAGGAAAACAGAGAAATGAAGATGAGAAACCCATGGTTTAATCAAAGATGTAGGCTAGCTAAGCAGCAAAGTAAAAGGGCATGGAGAAACTATAGGAATAACAGGACACTGGAGAGCAGAGAAAGATACCAGAATGCCAGGAATGAATATGTCAGGATGAGAAGAGAGGCAGAAAGACAATACGAAATGACATCGCAAGCAAGGCAAAGACTCAGCCTAATTGTTGCATAGCCACATTAGGAGAAAAAACAACAGTAAAGGAACAGGTTATGAGATTAAGGATAGGGGCGGAAGGATTCACTACAAATGACAAGGAAGTGTGTGAAGAATTGAATAAGAAATTCCAGGAGGTCTTCACCTTAGAACAAGGAGAAATTCCAGAGGTAAGTGAGGGAATAGCTAACCAGGAACCACTGGAAGAGTTTGAGATTACCAGTGGGGAAGTAAGGAAGTGTTTACTAGAGTTGGACGTGACGAAGGCTATAGGCCCAGATGGAATCTCCCCTTGGGTTCTAAAGGAAGGAGCAAGAGAACTGAGCCTACCACTCTCCATAGTGTATAACAAATCACTGGCAACAGGGGAACTGCCAGATACTTGGAAAGCAGCTAACGTAGTCCCGATATACAAGAAAGGGATAGACAGGAGGCACTGAACTACAGGCCAGTGTCCCTAACCTGCATACCATGCAAGCTGATGGAGAAGATTGTGCGAAAAAAACTAGTGGAGCATCTGGAGCGAAGGAACTTTGTAACACAGCATCAACATGGGTTCAGGGATGGCAGGTCCTGCCTCACAGGGTTA